TAAATTACTTCTTAAGGGTGTTTATGGTGCGAATTATGTAATATCTATGCCTGGTTTACTCCAATCTTCTTCTATCTCATTTATGGATCAAATTGTTTCATAAACTTTTTTTCAGCTCGTTAAGATATATTTCATTTTGCTCTGCAACATTGTAAGAGTATAATCTATTTATGCGATTTTAAAAGCTGAATCTGTGCTTTTATCGAACTTACCTTTTAACCATAACATCTGTAAAGTTGAAGTACCACTTTTAATCACAATGGGTCATGCTAATTTGATGCATATTGGTTTGAATACCCTTATTTTAAAGGAGAATTAGTCAGTGAGATTGGCATATTTTGTCACTGGCGAGTTTTATTTTGGTGCCAAACATGGTTGGCCCTGTTAGTGGTCCGATGACAAGAAAATAAATATAGAACACTTCAAGGGACATGACACGGACTAAGTTTTTCCTACTCCCTATGCAATCACGACAAGTTGATATAGTAATGCTAATCCATTTTTTTACTTTATTTCTTTGGCTTTTCTACGAAACTTTGTCATACATTAATTTCAGATTACATTTTTAATTGGCCCTGGTTGCCTTATATTTCATAACAAATGCGTGTATTATCCATCTGTTACTCCCTTTTATTCAAAAATGCACAGATGAACGCATCAAGCAGTGCCTCTTCTGAGTCTTCAGGTCCTCTGCATCCATTTTCTGCATATTTAGCATCATTGGAAATAAAAAATGGCGTTTCACAAGTTCCGGCTGCCGGTGCTATCACAACTCATCTTTCTTCCATATGGAGCACTTTGTCTGCTTTTGATTTTCTAGATATCTCTTCGGTAATAGTTTCGCCTAGCTTTGCAATAATATCCTATTCACTGTAATATCGTATAATACTTACGTAAGTCGGTTTTTATATCGAGATGTTGCTTATGCATGTCCATAAATTCACTTTAAATAGATCATACTGAATGATTACCCAACCTTACAATATCCTGATCCAAAAAGAGGTTCATGAAATTGACTTAAGAGAGCATAAATGGGGAATTTTCTATTTTTCATTATTCTTAACATTGTCAGTGTATCACCTTTTGTAAGAGCTGACAATGGTAGTTTCAGGAACCTATAAAAGTATTTTATCTACCTATCTTGCCAAATATCTTTTTTTCCCCTCTATTATTTCGTTTACTTGGGAGCCTATGAACCACATCGCTAATACACGGCATTAAATAGACTAGATATTCTTCCTTGATCAATTGAACGTACCCTTTGCCCATTAAAAATCAACTTATTTAAGTATTATACTTCTCGAATTTCTATAAACGTTATAAAAGTCATTCATTGGGCCTTCCTATGGCCTATATTAGTTGTATGCTTACTCACAATCGAAATGATTGATGTGGCTTTTAATACGTATCTTGTCTAAATTTATCTTAGGGAGTTAACCTTGTGTTTTACCTTCCGTTTTATTAAGATAATCGGATTTCTAAAAGAAAATCTTGGTCTTGTACACACGATATTAGAGTCCTTGTGGACTCTCCTGCGCAGCAATGCCAACTTACTATTCTCTTTGCTGACTGCGACTACTTCAATCCTTTTTTGTAGCGGTACAGTAGTGCTCAATTTCCTTTTTTCCTCCGTAAGTTCTATCTGCCTCATTACTATTTTTCTCCTGTATCTTATATTTTTATATTTCTGTTCACAATGAATCTTGTTTATTGGATATTGGCTCTTTATTCTCATAAGTAGTCGAATCTTATATTTTCTCTCTTAGTTTATTGGTACATTTAAATCCTAATCATATATATTCAGGATGTCTTGCCTTTTTTATTTTTAGATGTCTTTTTACCTCGTTCCTTCATACAGTTAATATTCTTCACTGCCCTCTTCTATCTTCTGGCTGCTTCCGGGCCGAGTTACCTGCCTGTTGCATTCATTAGCTCTCTCACGCCTCGACCTGCTGAAGCAAGCCCGGCTATACGGTCTTTCTACGAAGCAGTTGAATCAGCTATTAGTGGGGTGTTTGCTGCCACATTAAAGCTGGCCGCTTTTTATGGTCTCTACACGACTTTGACACACAATCTACTCGGTCTTGATTTGGTTGTTATACCTTCAGGTAACTTTTTTTAGATATCTGATTCGCTCCTTTTGTTTTTATTATATGCCTTACTATTTCTTGAAAGTTAATTGCGAAATAACGATTTCCAAAGTTCCTTTTTAATCTTTTTTAGTTTAATGGCATTTGTATATTTCGTATTTTTCGTTCATAAGTAGGATTTCGAGACTACCAGTAAATCACCCTATTTCGTTCAAAGTGATTAAGGACTAGTATTTGAATTTTCCCAAAATGCTATGAATAGGGCTAACGTTTCCATAGACTTTCACATAGCCTTGCTTTCTCAAAAGGTGTTCTCATTCAGAGTGGACTGTAGTTTTGACCTCGCGTGTGTCTTATCAACACCACCAGCAGGAGTCTAACCATGAAAATGCAGCCTATAATCTTGACATGTTAACCACTACAATGCTATTTTAGTATTTACTGTTATATTAGAAGATAATTTTTGTACATAATCTATTTTGTATAGGAAGCCCGACCAATTTTAGCTAACATCATTTTGCTTAGTCGATTTGATCATAGCTATTAATACGATCTGTACTATTTTCCACAACTTGAATTCTCAATTCAAATCTTATAAAACTGGATTTATCTAACTTCGTACGTTAGTTATTTTACAAAATAACCACATTTTAATTTTTAACTTTTCATTTTGTAAACTTATCTACTTGATATAAGTGAGACGATACCGAAGGCTACGCCATCCTGGTCCTCATATTTTCGATTAATCTACTTTAATTGAAGGTATGAAGACCAAGATAGTGTGGTCTTTTGTGTGGCGACAATCTCTTTTCGTTGTATAGAAGTTGTTTGACCTTGTTCTCGCAACTTTATCATATTGATAGGAAGACTTGGAGGAACGCACCTAATCCGGAGTCCATTGTATGCCTGATAATTTCCAGAATCGGAAAGTGGAGGTGGTACATTTCCAGAAGTTTCGCCGGCATCGTTAGTAAGTATTCCTATTCTTATCACCACACTACAATTCGTAAAAGAGACAAGTGAAGCTGATTCTTTGACCAATTGTCTGCTAAACCATCGTGATATCTCTTCTTACCCCCTGGGCTAATCACCAATCCTGTATCTTCGTATCACGCCTTTACTATCACAATTTTTGCTTGCTTATTAAAGTGTGGTGTGGGGTACCCTTATGAGCGGCTTTCATAAGAACTGTCCATACTCCATAGTTGCTGATCTTCTTTTATTCTCATGCTGATTATCCCTCTCGTCTCCGATTTATTTTTGTTTACAGTCCTTGTAGTTTATGCTGTAAACTCCGGAGCATTCGATTATGTTGACTTCTTCATGTTGGTTAGGCAAGCTGATAAATAAGGTTGTCCTCTCCTTCATGATTGTACGAATGTCCCATTTCCCTAGTATAGGCCGCAGCTTTCATGCCACTTTGAAAGAGGGTAGACATATCCATCTTTTTTTTCTCTGTTCCTCTTGTTTTCGTTTCATACTCACCCTCTTTCTATCTGTTTATCACCATCTGTATGTTACGTTATATTGGTTCTTCTGGATATCCGTTTCTAAGACTAATCTGAGTTAGTTTTTTAATTTTCTCTCCCCAGAACCCAGATTCGGTGAGTCATATGCTTCTTATGATCATACTCTGGAGCGTTCCAATCTTCATTCCCTAACTATAGTTCGACTGGAAGCGAAGAATTATTTCGGTATACAATTTCTTTCTGAAAACTCGTTTGATGAGAGTTTTCTTAAGGCCAATGATTTTCACATCCAAGAAAGGTAAGTGTCCGTTCTCTTCCGAATCCATAGCAAATTTTTCCATTTCATCCATTTCGTTTACGAAGATCAGGAAATCGTTTAATTATTCTCTTCCATCCGAATAAATTGCGAAGTAGTCATCCAAATATCGTATAATTACAGTTGGATGCTGAGCTGACATTTTGAAATTCTCCTTCGACTTGTCAATGAAGGCATTCGCTAACAGAGGTGAAAGTGTTGAGCCCATAGGCAGGCCAAATATTTGCTTATAGATGCGCCAGATGAACGCGAAATAAGTCGTTCTTATTCTTAGGTTGATTAATCGGGTTAGAGACTTTACGAATTCCCTCCGTCTCCAGGATGCCACCTTTTTTCAAGCTCTCCAGTAGTTTCATTGGTGCTTTTTCTTCTGTGATGCTAGTCTACATGGACTGTATATCAAAGCTCACTAAAAATTCGTTTCCTTCCAAACGGATATCTTTGATTCTTTATCAAAATTTGGATGAGCTCTTTACTGTATTCGATAATCTGTCATTCACTTTCTTTAATTTGAGGCAGATAAATTTCGCTAATTTATATGTTGTTCCATGTTTGTTGTTTACTAATTGTCCCAATGGTTTTCATATTTTGTGTACCTGCAAATCGTATGCTACTGGGGCTCTTGCATCCCTTCGTAGGAATGAACTCACTATCAATCTGTCGATTTCCCTGTTGTATTCATTTCCTTCAGCGTTCTTTGCAATGCCACTTTGAGCGTGACTGTTGGTTCTTTTATTATGAGTCGATAGGTTTTAGTGTCCATGAGATTATTTTCAATTTTCTCTGTCAATTCCTTCCTGTCCATCATAACTTTTGCACCTTTCTTTTCGGCATGTAGGACTATTTAATCGTTTCTTTTCAATTGTCTATATACCTTGGTTA